TACAAAAATACCCACTTACAACTATTTAATAATATACCTACATTACAATGAGATAAGGAACCCTCCTGCCTCCACTGACCCCAGTGTCGGCTAGCAAATGTTTTCAGGGAATTAGTGCGTCCCTCGACTTGTTCGACATCGCATGTGTTATCCATTCGCAATTATTGTGTTTTACTTTCAATCAGTGTTAAAACGGCGACCTGGCTCTTTAATGGACTATTGTTTAGCTTACTGATTTGGACTTTGTTTGTTTGGTTGTTACGACGACTTGGCTTATTTCTAGACTGAACAGAGTTTTTGAGTCTGTAAATAAAAATGCCACGCATTCAGTATACGCCCCAAGAATATTCAAACATGCATATTATTTATGGGGAATGTAGAACCAACGCAAATGCAGCTGCAGCTCTTTATAGGGAAAGATACCTTAATGCTCGTCACCCAGATTACCGCGTGTTCATGAGAGTCCATCCATGTTACTCAGAAGGAAGAATGCCTGGTAGTGGTGTTGGTGGTACTAGTACTGGAAGAATACCTCGTGGTGACAACGATGAGGCAGTGCTTGAGGAAATTGCGCAAGATCCTTCCACCTCGACGAGTAACAACACGACACACGGGAATAGGAAAATCGACTGTGCATGATATTTTAAAGAAAAATAAATTCCATCCCTACCACGTTACACGCGTGCAAACTCTCCAACCGAGAGATTACGCTTCAAGATTACGTTTTTGCCGACAAATGCTAGGTAAGATAGAGGAAGACCCGCAATTTTTTAACAAAATTCTATGGAGTGATGAATTAGCCCATAAAAGTGATGGCTATTTAAATCTACATAAAAATCCATAGCTGGGATCTTCAAAACCCCAATCTTATGCGGGAAAACCGATCACAGTGCTAGTTTAAAATAAATTATTGGACGGGAATATTAAATGGAAAAGTAATAGGGCCATAGGGGCATAATAGTAATTTGAACTACCGGGGAACCTAACTGGTCAAAGTTATTCGGAGTTCCTCCAGAATGATCTGCCTAATTTAATGGACGACGTGCTCGAGGAGCTGAGGGAATCCCATTGGTTACAAAATGACGGCTATCTTGCGCACTATGCGGTCCCTGTTCGAGCATATTTGAATAGAACATACCCAGACAGATGGATCGGCCGTCTGGGGCCAATTTTATGGCCTCCGCGTTCACCGGACCTAAATCCTTTGGATTTTTTTTATTGGGGCTGCCTTAAGGAAATTGTGTATAGTAAGCCGATCAGGTCCTTGGAAGACTTACGTAGCCGTGCCAGTGCAGCCGCTGCAACAATAAGTGGACGACGATATACGTGTCTACTCAAAAGGGCTTTTATTCGAAGATGTAGAGCCTGCATCAGTGTCGGTGGCAAACAGTTTGAACATTTGCTGTAAACAAATTGTAAATAAAGTTGTATTAATTTCTAATATAATTTTTTTTATTGAACCTCAACGGTCAAGCTCAATTCAGGACAAAAAATGGCCGAATTTTGAAAACTTAGTTTTTAGTCAAATTTACTTTCTATTTATATTAGATACAATAATGAATTATACCATTTTGAAATCTACTTTAAACACACATTATTTTAGAATAGTTGGCCACTCGCGTTATCATAATTTTTTTTTATATCAAAGATGCTTAAACGTTGTGAAAAAAAAATTGCACTGAAAAATAAAATAAAACTTTTTTTTTAATTTTAGTGCCATAGTTAGTCATACTATTTACTGCCTATCTATTAGCACAGTTAAGGTAGAATATTATAACACCAAAAAACCGAAGAAATTGATTAACTTGTAGTCGTGGTGTACAAAAACGTAAAATAAGATGAAAATAATTAAATTTAAAGAAAACAATATATATATCTTAGGTACTACATGGGATATATTTTTCTTTATATTTTTTTGAACGTTCATAAACTCTACTATAAGGCATTTCAGGCTTATCCATTCTTTACCGGATACCCTGTATAATATCCTTTTGTAATAGAATATCTTAACGATCACCTTAATGAAAACGCACGTCAATATTATAAACTTGCGACTGCCTTAATTAATTTTACTAGATGGTTTTCTGTTGGTAATTGATCAAATTGATGAATGGCAAGACAAATGAAAATGTTACTGCTGACAAAATATGGTAAAGTCTTATTAATCAGAAGAGGTTTACTTAATGAAAACCTCGTGTGAAATTTTTGTTATTATTTCTCGGATTTCCTGAAAGAGAATTCCTGCATATTTGGATAGCATCTTAGGTGGGATAAACCAGACCACCTTCGTCCTCGAAAGCAACGAACTCATACGTATGACGAACTCCAGATTTTTGTAAAGAGAGCGCACTGATAATTCTTTGCTTTATATACATATTTTTTTGTTTTACTCGTACTACATATACGTCGATGTATGTATTTATTTGCTCACTATATTCGGACATTCGAGGCAACGTGCTGCAAAAATTATCGAAATTACAGATACTACTGATAATAGATACTACAAAACTGAAAAAAAAACACGAAACGTTACTAAACAACATAACAAAAGACTTATAGAATATTTTTATAATATTGCTAAAGTCATAATAATTTTTCGATATTCATGGCGTATTAACAAAGGATTATAAATATATCGCATCAAGTAAAAGCCGCAATGTATTACAAATCATGAGGCATACACTCGGTTGCATATTTGTTTGTATTTGTGTACAAAATCACTTGCCCGTGGAAGGAAATGTCCCTGTTTACCCGTTTACCCACAGTTATGGTGTTTTTGCAGTTTATAATGGCATAATTATGCTTTTTTTTCGCGTTTTTCTACTTCTTCTACGATAACGGTGGAGCGCGTTCTGAAGTGTAGCAGCGGTAACTAAGTGAAATTCACTTACTTTGGGCATGCGAAGTACGTACACTTGCGGCGTCTATCTAGATATATGTCTGTGGCTTCATATAACCTTTTTTATTATCTATGTTACCTTTTTTATGATACCAAATGACGGGACGCCTTAAAGCGAGGTATTTGTACACCAGCCTAAATTTCAGGAAGTGAGGTGTGGTGAGACGCCTGCGCGTCTCGCATTCCACGCGTAGAAAATTAATTATATATATAATAGTAGAAAAATTTTTACACAGATCCGAGAAAATTTAACAAGCGCCCGATGGCAACTGACGGGGCAGCGAGAGGCGCGTCGTGTCGTTAAATCGCCTAGGCAATTTGTAAATTTTTCGATAAATGTGAATTTAATAACTAATAAAGATTTTTTTATATAATAGTAAGTGACTGAACGAACAAGTCGTGTGCCTAGTGGTAAACGACACGCCTGTGCATAACAATTGCAGTGCTACTCAGAGCTTTAAATCGCAAAGATCTAATGGTGACTGCCACTGGGCCCGTCGCTCTGAGACATAATGTACAGTAAATGCTCACATTACTGTTTGGCGGCAGAAATAGGAACGGTGGCAGAACTTCCCTGGACGAACTTTTTCACAAGGAGCTTTACTGCTGCTAAAAATATTAGTTTGCCATTAAAAATATATAATTTGTTGCAAATTTACGTCGTCTTAATTTTGCCGACCTGTCATTCTAATCAAGCTAAGTTTTACTGAGTGTTTACTGACATTCAGTCACACTACGATAAGTGCAAGATGGTAACAAATTACACACTGACAAAATGTTCTGATAAGGGCGATAAGGATGATTTATTTCAACTTTTATCTTGGAAATAATGAAGCGATTCAAGTGCGTTTTTGCGATTGCGATTATTATAACACGATTGATTAAATTTAATGCAATTAGTTATAAGGGCGCGTGCCCATTATGTCGTGACGACAGACTAGATTTAAAGTATCGTGTCTTGTATATTTAAACGAAGTTGGTCACACATTGAACAACACGATTAAATGTTGTTCACGACTTTTTTGACGTTACGACGACAGACTGTCGTGATAATGGGAAGAGCTAGAACGACATTCGTCAGACGATAAATAAAATGTCACGATAAAAAGGTGACCACAGATAATCGCAGCTTCAAACGATTCTGTCGTCCAAATGACAAAGTCGCTGCCGTGAACCGATAAATTGTCGTCACGATCTATTGGGAACAGCTAGACACGACAGTCGTTCAACGATAAAATAAACGTCTACGACACAGTCACGACAGATAGTCGTGTGTTTACGTGATAGACGCGACAGTCGTCCAATGATAAATAAAACGTTACGACATAATGGGAACACGCCCTAACAATTAATCAATCACGTGAAATAAAAAATAAAAATCTATCAATATCATTTCTAATTGATGCCGTGCCTCTACTGCGAGTTTACTGGGACAGTTGTCGCTAGCGACCGCGTAAATTACTTCACAATTTTGTATGACAAATTATACAGCACTCCTAGCGGTCACAAGATGAAACATCATTTTGTATACAAACATTTACGTGGTCGCTAGTTATAACTGTCACTGTAATTTCATGGTAGAGGCACTTAAAACAAAAAAACACTGAATTGGGAAACATTGGCGAAAGTCACTCGCTCGAGGTTGTGCGATAAGTGCCTACCGCTGAGTATATGGCCAACAGTGCAAGCGCTTAGACAAGTCTTCCATTCACATTACAATCCTTGTACTCAGCATTCCGTTCCGCACTACTGCACAACGGAGGGTAACGTTATTTTCAACTCTCTGAGCGCGTGCTTAGGTTCCTTTTTGTAGCGAGCGCCTGGTGTCAGATATACTAGACTATTATAGCGTAGGTATTTTCTATTTTGTATGAGAGTGGTATATCTGTTTCGTAGTAACTATTAAGTAATCTGTGCCCGTACTGTCATATTCTGATATTTAAATTTACTGTAAATTAACCTGTTTTTTTAAAACTACTTTCAGGTCCTCCGGCGCTGTTTCGAGCGGTTCCAATTGAAAGAAATATTTTTATCGTTCAATGGTGGCAAAGATTGCACAGCACTACTCGACATAACAATAAACATCCTACAGGACATTTACAAACGTAAAGACATAGCGAAAGATCTCAAAATCGTGTACATACGAACAAAAGGGCCGTTTAAAGAAATTGAAGAATTCGTAAAACTAGTTGAAAAACATTATGATGCTAAATTAATGGTTAGCTGCGGAGATATGAAAGAAACTTTACAAAGGATCCTAGATCTAGATGGAAATTTACAAGCGTGTCTTATGGGAACGAGGCGAACAGACCCGTATTGCCAAGATCTGAAATTTATGCAGGTGAGAAGCACTCATGATAATCCTATTTAAGAGCCAGGTTCTTGTCAGTGTAGCCCTCCTCCATTCCGTCTTTGATGTTCTTCTTTACATGTTCACTGTATGCCATTCTTGGTCTTCCTCTCTTCCTTGTTCCTCTCTATCTTCCCCTCAATTATCATTTTCACAAATTCCACCTTCTGTATTTCTTTGAATTAATTATTACTAAAACATTAATAAATAATCTAACACAAAGGTACATGTTAAAAACACCTTATTTATTCTTTTCCTTTCTGCTTTGAATGAATGAAATATTCTATATTGCACATAAAAAAAATACAATAACAACACAGAACAGTAATTACTTAGTAAGTTAACGTACATAAGCCGTACTTACGTACATAAACGTACATAACGTAAATAATTGCTGAGTAGCAACTTCTTCAAGGCAACCCATTGACCTACCAACAAATGGACGTCGGGTCTAATACAAGAACCACGAAAAAAATGTCCTAAGTTAACCCATACAAACGTAGTGACATGTAACGAAATATAAAAAAACTAAAACATTTAATTTAAATTGTAACCTCATTGCAGTACTGCCTAATTATGCTTGCAACAATTTATGGGCCCAAAACACCATATTCAGCTTCTACTGGAAACTTAACAAAATGCACCATATTTAGCTTCGACTGAAAATTACTTGAACACAAGAGCTTGCATGCTCCATTAGAGCAAGCTTTATTGTAAATATTAATTAATTTTGATATATATTATTATGTCGAATTTTGTACAATTTCATTTAAAGAAATAATAGAGTTGGGCAGATACATGCATACAAATATTACAAATGTGAAAATAAGCATGTACGAATGCATGTAAATAAGAAATGTAAAGAAAGATATTTCAACTAAACGTAAACTCGAATATCCGTAAAACCGATTTATAATAAAACCGTTACGCTTTCGAGTAATTTTGATGCTTTTCACAAAGACTTTTTAAAAATTAGCTTTTGTTTTGTAATATTCGTAAAAAAATTCATTTGACATTATGAAAATTCGAGCTAACGTTATTTCGGGCAAATGTATTTTCTGACTTCTGATAGGTAATCCCAAGCCGTAACGAGTAAAACAATATTTTGTTAGTTATTGCTAACATTTAATAAAAAATAATTTTAAAAATAAGATTAAAATCAAAGCGACTCTATGGGTCGTATTCCAGAAGTCTACTCAATGCTCAAGTCAGGACTTGAGTATTGCAGTGAGCACTGAAAATCATACTCAAGTCCTTGCCATTAGGGTCGTATTTCCAGTGCTTGAAATCATACTCAAGTCTGCTCAAGTCCTGACTTGAGCATTGAATAGAGTTCTGGAATACGACCCTATAATTTTTTTGTTCTAAATATTTCAATCGTTTGTTGTTCCAACAATTGAAAATGACCAAGAAGTTTATTATAAGCTTCTTGAAATTGACGTAACGGGTTTCTTTCCATCTTTTGCGCATGCAATGTGTAGAAAAAGGACAGTTAGCTATTTGCCTATTTTGTTTGCTTTTGTGATTTATACTTACAATTCATTTATATATAAATTAATTACTATATAACTGTACAAAATAACACTTTTAAATGATAACTATGATAAACAATTTATTTGTGTAGTGAAAATATGATACAAAATCCTGTTTTTACAATTTACTGCAGTAATTTTTACAAGTTATTATTATATAGTACTGCATGTTTGACAACCGCGCTGTCAGTCGAACAAACGAAGACTGTTATGCGATTGACGCTCTTGTATGCGATTTTAACGCCCTATAAGTGCGGACACTTTTTAGCGCAAAGCCGATGTTGGTAGGTTTTTTTTGTTGGTAGGTCAACCATTTGTTGGTAGGTCAATGAGGCAACTTTATTTTTGTTGTGCCTGAAAGAGTCCATGATGTGATACTTATACTATATAAAACCTTTTTCACCATTGTGGAATGTAAATAAAGAATATTGAAATAAATGAATACCCTAATTATTTTCTTCTTTTTAGAAAACAGATCCGAATTGGCCTCAAATTATCCGCGTGTCGCCCCTTCTCAACTGGTCTTATCATCAAATATGGAGTTACATCCTGCAGAGAAAAGTGCCTTACTGCTGCCTTTACAGTATAGGGTTAGTTTTTAACTTAAGATAGATAAACGCCGATTTCGTTTAACAATAAAACTGAATCTGTTGTAGATCTCGTTTCGCTAAAATTGGAAACAAGGACGGTTACCGGACACCCACGTTGCGTCACACGTCGCAGTCCATACGTGTAAATAAATAAATAGTGTTAGTGTTTTATTATATTGTATGTATGTTATGTGTCTATAAGGTATATATTTATGGGTCTTTCTCAAATTTTCAACTCTGCATACAACTTGCACAATTAAAGATTAACTTGCATGCAGGTTGTATTTAACCGACTTTAAAAAAGGAGGAGGTTCTCAATTCGACTGGTTTTTGATGATTCTTTTTTTTGTTGGAAAGACCTCAGTATTAGTCCCATTTAAATTTGAAGAAAATATTCCACCTCTAAGGGTAGCAAACTAGGGGATGAATCCGGTTTCGCCAACTTTCTAGTAACCGATTGTAAAGTTTTAAGTCGGTTCCTTTTTTTTATTAAAAATTATTTTAACACCAACTACTTGTAACGTCATGTACGTTTCTTAACCACAAAACTCCTTTTACAGGTACACATCAATAGGCAGTACACAAAACACGTTACCAAACCCGTACCTGGAGCACAAACACTCCAGTGGTACTAAGCTCTACCATCCCGCATGGTTTCTCGCAGATGGCTCCCTAGAGCGGGCCGGTCGCTCCACTCTCTCACACCAAACGACCAATGGACACGCAAATGATCAAAATATCAATGCCTGTGATTTATGCGTTAGTACAAATGGTGTTTGACGGAACTGTACATAGTAGTAGTCATTAGTAGGAGTAAAATTTTCGACCGAATGCAACTGTGATTTTTAAACTGCGTTTAGATGAGTTGATTAATTGCTTGCACCATGCACCTATTCAGGGAAGTCAGATTGAAAGAAAATCTGACAAAGAAAATAATAGTAAAATAACAAATCGTAATCGTAACAAAGACGTAAGAATATGGGTAACTTTTCGAAAAAATCAAATAATAGAAATTTTTCAGAAGAAATTCTGGAAAATTAGAAAAAAGTAATAATGCCAAGACACATATTATGCTCCTTAGCATTTACATATATCTTTTAAAGTTTTATTTATTAGCATAAATTAGGAAATAAAATTTCATAAACGTTAATATGTAATTTTTTGAAAATTACATTTGGCCCTGTTTTGCTTATTTCCACAAATTCTCATAATAGAGTTCAGTATCTTCAATTTTGACAGGTATCACTGTCATATGCGGAAAAATATGGGAAAAAAAAGATTTATTTTTTTTAAATAGAAATTTGTCCATGACCCAACACTACGTGCTATTGAACTACCAACTCCGTTACAATATAAAAATAAATTAATCGACTTGTTAAAACGTGAAAATAAACATTGCCTTACTTACTTAATAATAAAGCTAAGTATTAGACAATAAATAGAATGTGGACATAGTTCACATATAAAAAAAATATTAACTTGGAATCTTCAAATATTACCAAGTCACGTGGTATATAAATATACGGTACATATAAAATGGCAAGTGTAATGTCATGCTACAAGCCACACAAAAACAATCTTATTGTCCTCTTGAGAATAAATGGACTAATTTCACGGTCTACATATATTGTGATGTTATAGAATTCATTTTCGTTCACATTATAATTTACATAATTTTAAATCGTGCGTGATATTGATATCGAAGCCGTTTTCGCAAGTGTAAATAACTCTTGCTTCTTGAGTATTCTCGAGTAAATTGTATGGCTTCAATGAAATTATTTACCACCATGACTGTTGTCACACAGTAATTTTAATTAGTAAGTGTATTTACACTTGAGTAAAAAATCTGTAGTGATAATTACCTGTTCTTACCTACTTATAGGTACAAAATAATTAAGTTATATTATAAACTATTATTAAAAAGATATTTTTTACAATTTTATTTATTGACGAGTTACTTAATATTATTCGTTATTTTTTAGGATTGCAATACCGTAACTACTGCTCGTGTTACTGAGGCCTCGTCTTCATTATACCAGTGGCAAATAAGTAATTTTTATTTTTTTTATTAGTTAACTTGCTTGTAAACGTGACGTCATACCCGTGTGCAATACATACTGGAAACGTGGCTTTAAATAATTCAGTGTAGGTACTTAAATGACATGTAGACAAAATCGTCCACGTAATACCCAAACACAAAAGTATCATGTTGTAAAGCGAAACATCTACTATCTAACATACTGGCCAACAGAGTAGGATAGAGCTGTATAAAAAAAAAGCATACGAAAATAAATAGAATAAAATAAGATTAAATGATCAAATTCAAAATTGGAATAATTACATAAATGGAATAGATAAGCTTTAGGCGGCATAATGCCATTGCGTGCAATGGCAAATTTTATTGCAGAATTAATCGTTCATATTACTTTGTCCTGTTTCAATTAAACACAAACTTGTTCGCACACTAAACTAACAAGTTAGCGTTAAAAATAGTGTTGACATTTTTAAAGACAAATATAATCAAGACAAAAAAGAATTTTATATTTAGATGGTATAATATTAATTTGAATTCGTTATATAAAGCCGGGTACTCACTAGCGAGCTTGAACCGTAAGCGCCCAGTTACAGGAGAAGAAAGTTTTCGGGCGACCGCCCAATTACCACACCTTTTTGTACATTAATGGCGAATCTGAATTCTATTTATTATGCAGCAACATTTAAATTCCTCCCAATAAAATTACCTCCGCGTAGACTAAACTCAAGCATCCAGGCTTGCCCACGTATCCGGAACGCTCATTTAAATTAAAACGTAAAAGCTAAACAAATAGAGCGTATTTTGCCATGACAGTTAGACGCATGCGGTCGCTGCGCGGCGGCAACGCGGACTCCGCTTTTCGACCGCGCGGCGGCCGATGAAATTCGTGTCGAATAACTGTTGATGTTATGTTACCAAAAATCATAGTGTGTTTCGCGAACTTGCCGCGAGCGGTTCGCAGTGAGCCGACACGACACGAATGACATTCCATATTCGAACGTATAGGCAGCTAAATCTTTCATTCCCGACATGCAGGCCGACAAAACGGGACACATTAATACTGAAGTCTTCTATTTTATGCTGTGTTGTTTTGTTACACTGTCGAGAAATAACAGTTTCCTAATTTCTGACATGATCAGGAGTAAGTATATTGCTCTGTTTATTGGCTGACATGTTGCGTAATGAATTATAAAAGAGCATCTCTAGCACATAAAGCACGTATTTTTATTTGAATCAAATGTTATAGTATTACAAATGATGATTATTATGTTTTTCTATAACTGCGAATTTATTAATTTTACTTCAATTTTTGGTTGTGGTGGCACATTCGTTAGACAAATAAAACAATTAATTAATTAGAATTTTTTATTTGTTTTCTTTCAAAAGTTATTGTTTGCAATTGTATATCTGTTGTTTATTTTCAATAAATTTAAGTGTTATTTCCTGTGTCGTTTGGTTTTACATGTTTTCTTATAAACTCTTGAAACATAGCGACGTCTTCTGGTTTGTCATCTAAAACAAAGAAGAACGAAATTAAAGGAATTACTTGGAGCTACTTATATGAAACGAAACGTATTCAAAAATATTTCAAAATTCGAAAACTTTTCTCTTTTTTTGCTTAACAGCTTGCCTGCCGTGGCGGAACGATTAACGTGCTGGTCTGCCACACTGAGGTGAGGTTGTCTATGTGGGTTTACCTGGTGCCACTAACTTTTTTTTACTTCAAAACAGGGAAACTCAACAACTTAAAATTAAGAGTGCCACCAAGTTGGCAATTTCAGTCACATCTTTTTAAATTGCTCTAGATTTGATCGTACCTCTCGTTTCCAATCCCATGTACAATCAACAGAACATCAAGCTACACACTTGTTCGAATATCAACCCCAGCGCAACTGAACAAGATCCGTGAGTGTGTATAGCTTGCTGTGTTGCCGTCTGTACTTCCCTTAGAACGAAAAAAGGTACAACTGCTGTATAATAGGACGCATAGTTGTACCTTTATTCGTTACGAGGGCAGTGTACCTATTCCCACTTCTCTATCTTCCTATCTTTTATTGTTGTTCAATAACTCTTCTATATAATGTGTTAATCTCGCCATATTTACAGAGGTCATTCTATATTCGAAACTGAACCCAAATCACTAAAAAAAAATTCTTAAATTCTTATTTTTTATTTAATTGCGGTAACCATGCTAGATCCAAAGGTCAATGACTTGCATTACACGTGCTACAGGTACCGGCAACCATTTGAACAATGATCTATGCGCAGAAAATATGCATTTTAGATCTATTTGGTGGTAGTGACAGGGTAGGGACAGGGGTAGTATCGAGCGCGTGATTGGTAGATCATCAGTCGACCTTGCGTATTGCGCCTACGTTCCGCTGACATCGCGCATACGTTCTAGTTTCTTACGAAATGCAACGTGATTTGGTATGTAAACAAGAGTTAGAGCAAAAAAAACAACTACCATGTTCACCAGACCCTGCGTTACCCTCAAGTGCGTTCTTATAGCATGATGTGAAACGTTTAGTTTACGCAGATTACGAGTGTCGAAGAATTGCGCGCAAAAATCGTCTCTGGTTTCTTTCTGCTTTTTCTGTTGTGAAAAATGCGGTAAGTTGAAACGAAACTCTGCATATCTGTGGCTGGCTCTAGTACGGAGCCTGCCACCAGCTGTGGAGCTAGCTACTTCTAGCACTACTTTCATGTAACCTAAAGTTGGTAAGTACCAAATCTAAGTTACAAAAAATCGGTTTTTCAGTTAACTTGTAAAATGTAAATAATTAGTAAATTATAACAATACAATAGTACGTAAATATAATTTAAAAAATAGGTAATAAGACTAATAAGCTATCGAGAAAGATTACGTATCGCTCGGTGAAGCGAGTGGCGGGGTCACCATCCTCCGCGGTGAATACACTTGGAGACAATTTTACAAAAGTTTACTACATACAATTAGTCAGAATATTGAACAGAAATTTTATTTCTTATTTTTAGATGATTTAGTATGATTACTATTATTAATTTCTTAAATATGGCAAGAATGCTAATCAACACACTGTACACTCATCTATTTAGATATAGTTGTAGTAGTTGTATAAGTGTATACTGTGATTTTTATGACTGGGGTATGTATGTAACAGTATGGATAAATCCGAAGCTATAGGTGATACAGGGAACCTGTCTTAGGAACCATTAAAACATTTTTGTAAAAACAAATTTGACTTTGTAAATTTTTTGGTCAAGCTTGATTGTCCAAAAGAATGAATAATATTGATATTTTTTTTAATGCTGCGCTACTCAGTGTCTTATAAAGATCATTCATTGTATTGGATGAAAATTTATACAAAGATATAATACAAACTAATTGTTTATTTATATCTCATATTTCCCTCTTCCTAATCCCGCTCGTAAACCTTGAATGAATAAATGCACGAAACCTTCTTTATTGCACATTAAAATTACAATGACAACACAGGACAGTAACGTAAGTATCACAGAGTAAACCAATGTAGAACAGGCGGCCTTATTAGCCATTTCTTCCAGGCAACCTTAGAATAGAAATTTAAGAGTTGGAAAAGGGGGCGCAACCAAAGCGTATCTTGTAATGAAAGCATTTTAAATAAATGCACTACTCATCAATAAAGTAAATACATAAATAACAATAATGAATACATAGGGTGCACTATAAGTTTCCCCCGGAACTGGGCAATTACATAAACAATATTTCAAAAGTAATTACATTTGAAATTGAAACTCTTTGGCTGTAGAATACAGTTTGTTTCATCTGACTGTCACTTGTTTTTACATTGTGGCGTCATTTTAGATATTGGTTGTCTACATCACCATGGATTTAACTCGTAAAAATTTTCGTAGTATGATTTTCTACGACTTTAAGTGTAATTTAACAGCCCAGCGGACCTTCGCTCGACTTCACACAGCTTTGAAGCACCATGCAAGATGACTATTTATAGCTGGTTTGCAGAATTCAAACGCGGTCGTGTGAATCTCAGTGTCGAATTTCGTGATGGTGACCCGTCCACTGCTGTGAACAACAAAAACATCGATGCTGTGCGCCGTATGATCAAAACAGACAGGCATGTGACATACCATGAGATTCGGGCATCTTTAGGCATAGGTATGAGTACAAAACAAAATACAATCAATACTACACAAACATTTGGGTGTGAAAAAGCTGTGCTCTCGGTGAATCCCACACAATTTGACTGAGGCTCAATAAACGGATCGCGTCACTTGGTGCAATGCCATGCTTACCAGATTCAACGAAGGGGCAAATTTGATGTGGGACATAGTAACAGGTGACGAAACATGGATTTATAGTTACGATCCCAAAACAAAGCAGCAATCGAGCGTATGAGTCTTTCGAGATGAGCCGAAACCAACCAAAGTGACGCGCGTGCAAAGTGCCTCTAAGCGGATGATTGCTTCTTTTTTTAATAAATACTGGACACGTGGCTACTGTTGCCTTGAAGAATCGTTGTACCGTGAATAGTGATTGGTACAGGACCGTTTGTTTGCCGGAAGTTATTGACAAACTCCGTAAAAATAACCGTAAACGCCTTATCATCTTGCACCACGATAATGCCAGTTCTCACACGGCCAGACAGACAAAGGAATTTTTGAAGGTGAACAACCTTAACCTTATGAGCCATCCCACGTACAATCCCGACCTGGCACCTTGTGACTTTTATTTATTTCCAAAAATTAAGAACCAGTTACGCGGTCAACGATTTTCATTACCTGAAGGGCTGTCGAGGAGTATGAAAAATATGTTTCAGAGATTGTCACGGAGGAGTGGCATAAATGTTTTCAAAATTGATTCATTCGTATGAAAAAGTGCATTGACGCTAACGGAGAATATTTTGAGAAACAATAAATTCATTTCTGATCATTTATAGTATTTTTTTCTTATTTATTCCGGAAACTTATAGAGCGCCCCACGTATAGTTTCCTTTTTATAAGTTTCCGTTTCAAAGCCAAAAACTTTGTAAATGACAAAAGCGCTAATCGCGAAAAGACAGGAACGTAAAAAAGTAATTTGGAAACGGGATTAAGAACGAAAAGAAGCTTTAAAGACTTGTCCAATATGACATTGTATCATGTATGTATGTATGTAAACACTTTATTGTACACCACAAACAAATTACAAAAGAAATAGAACGTTATTGTACAAAGGCCACCTTATCCCATAAAGCGATAAGATAAGCGGCCCGCCCAGGCCCTTTACTTTCGTTCTCCGTCTCACATTAATCCGAATCAATTACTGCCAAATAAGTAATACTCGATGAAATTAAAGGACGCGTGATGCGAATCACGCTTCATACTTGACATTGTCTTTTTAATTTGGCCGTGTATTAGTTATTTCACGTTAATTGTTTCCGACGGATATCGGACGCAGAACGAGAGTAGACCTCCAGGTGTCAAGTTGAACTGGTCTTAACTATAGAACTAACAGATACCTCACGTAGTTAAATCGATTTTCTGCTCGACATATTTCGAAACAGTCCGCGATCCTTATGCATGAGCTTCTGTGGCGGTGACTCGACGAAAAGTGCATGCCAAAGCCTTGAGAGCCGGCCATGCCAAAAATTCGACTATTTCCGTGAGTTATCCTTTAGGTTAGATAACATGTCCGAGACGCACGGTAGTTTTCTATTTAAAAATACAGCCTTTTTTTAATAATACCAAGTGCCGGGACAAACAAGTCGTGCGCCTGGTGGTAAGCGACACGCCTATCCGTATGGCTATCTGTAACCCTGATATATACGTTGAAAAATCCCATTTGCCTGCAATTTCACCAGCACCCTTACCCTTCCAAATCGGAACGCAGTATTGCTCACATTACTGCTTGGCGGCAGAAATAGGTAAGGTGGCAGTACTTCCCTGGATAAACTCTTTCACAAGAAGCTCTACTAGTTTTATAAATAGTCCTTTTATAATATGTCTGCCTTGTTTATATAACTCTTTAACAGAACTAGTAGCGGTAGAAGCCCAGAAACTTTTTGCTTGAGAGGTAGCCGTTCTCCCATGGGCTTCTATTTTGGTTGAGGTCAACGATCGTTGTGGCAGCATGGACTCTGAACTTCTAAATTACAAGCATTGGTCAATGTTTGTAAGCAATGCATCTCGCCAACGTTGAAGAAATATATTGTGATGAAACCTGCATTTGAGGAAAGGTTAACTACACTTGAAAAATATGTTAAGTCCCCAACCCGCTTTGAGCCAGCTTTGCAGACTAGAACTTAAAATCTCTTCTTAGGGTAGACCCGTGCTCAGTATTGAGAATAGGTTCACAATGATGGAATAAAAATTAACACAAGCTACTGCTCAAAATGTCAAGTGCTAAAATGAAAAACTACATGTTTACGACCCAGTAAAGCTAAACTAAGGTTGTAAACCTGTGTCCAGTATTTATTTAAAATTCTACTTTTGATACTCACCGACTTCCGGTTCCTGTTCGGTGCCCTCGTCATCACTGGAGCTCTCATTCCCGGGATGTTTCAAATACATATCGCTTATCTCTCTCCCACCCATCACTTCGTCTATAAGCTTTTTTTTGTCTAACACTGTGTCATTTGTGCTGGAATTTCTTAGTTCTTCTTCTTGCCTTTTTTGTTCTTCCAGTTTTTCTGCGCGCATTTTTAGCCAATCTGCTCTGTATTCTCTGAAAAAGATTTATCAACTTATATGAATAAGTTTATCATTATTGTATATTATTGTTATGTATGATATTAATAGAAATAAAACGGTAGTACAAGTTATAACTTCCAAACTCACTTTTTTCCGGTATGTAAACTTACATAGGTGCAATTTTCAACATAGTACAACTTTTTTCTTTAGTCTTTACGGATCTGAGAACTTAGACCTTTTGAGCCACGATTATAAAATGTGGCCCATACCAAAGAAAACCTTTTTTTTGCGAATTACAAGGCATTGTGGAAAGGCAATCGTTAACTTATTTATTAATTCAGATAAAACATGTAACATAATGTTACAATCCAAAAGAAAAAAACAAGATTAGTACTATTTTAAACTAAAATTATTTAAAACTAATATCTATGATATCTTGGTGGTTTTAATTAAATAGATGTTTAATCACACCAATGTGTTTTTTGTTGTTGTTTGTTTATTTTGTTACTTCTTTCTCACCTTTCATATTCGTCTGCTGCTTCATCCACCAATCGAAAGAACTCATCTATACCCTGAAAATAACAGTTAAAAACGATTACTACAAAAACATCTAAGAATGATATCGATTATTATCTGCAGCCACATTTTGGTTTTCTTAGTATCCATAGGAAGGTTGTGGAAAGAATAGGTCTATGCACAGCAGTCCCATATAATTCTACATGAATTTTCTTTATATAGTGACCCTCCTTACCAACCTCATGGGTATACGGGAAAGATATTGTAACCTGTGCAAGCATAGGGACCTTTTACATTCAGGTCCTGACCCCAGATCAGCCCGTGGAGTGCACGTACAGTACCCTACATACATATTTTCCAGAGTTGTTGGCGCGGTTATTTTCCGTTGTGCATTGCACAACTAACGGTTGCCTCCACTAAGCCGTTGAATTTAAATTCGTCTGCCATCTCCTCCTCACTGGTAACGGAGCTATAGGTACACTCAGTTCCCGATGCCTCTCCGGTCTATGCGCAGCAGTTCCCATATCCTATTCTACATAAGTTTTGTTTACAATAACCCTCCCTATGAACCTCTTAGTTAAACAGGAAGGGCACTATAACCTGTGCCAGCAAGCATGCACAGGGACCTACTCAGTCAAGTCCTGAACCTAGATCAGCCCGTTTGCACAAACTTCATCCGGTCCTCAAATGGCTGGTGCCTTGGGTGGGTATTTTCCAGATAGGTACCGGAGCTGTAGGCACGCTCACTTCCCGTTGCGCATTGCGCACTAACTGTTGCCACCGCTTAGCCGTTGACTCTTAAAGTCCACTACCAACTCTCCTCTTTGGTGACAGAGCTGTAAGGCACGCTCACTTCCCGTAGTCTCCCCGGAACTACCTATCTCTTGGGTCAGTAGATAGGGACTATATGCACAGCAGTCATCAGCAGAAGTTTTAGTAAAGTAGAGCTCCTTGTGAAAGAGTTCATCCGGGGATGTAGTGCCACCTTTACTTTTTCTGCCGTCAAGTAGTAATGTAAGTTCGGTCGGCGTTCCGGTTTTGAAGGGTAATACGAGTGCTGGTGAAATTACAGGCACATGAGATTTGTCAACTTATGTCTGAAGGTGACGGCCGCAGTGGCAGTACCCCTGAGGTCATTGCAATTGAAATCTCTAAGTGGCACTGGAACTGCTATGGACAGGTGTGCCGCTTCATCATTATCATATCAGCCGGAAGACGTTCACTGATGAACATAGACCTCCCCTAAAGATTTCCAGACCAGCCGATCGGACGCAACGTGCATCCATAGGTTACCCGCCGCCCTTATCAGATCATCCGTCCATCTCGTAGGGGGCCGTCCCACGGAAGACCTTCCGGTTCGTGGTTTCCATTCAAGAACCATTCTGCCTTCAGTTCTACAATCCATATGCCTTGCGCACTGCCACTTCAACTTGCTAATCCTTCGAGCTATATCGGTGACTTTCGTTCTTGTACGGATCTCCTCTTTTCTGATTCGATCACGTAGAGAAATGCCGAGCATTGCTCGCTCCATAGCTCGTTGAGTGACTTTGAGCTTTTTTATAAGGCCCATAGTAGGTGATCATGTCTCAGAGCCGTAGGTCATCGCTGGCAACACGCACTGCTCGAAGACTTTTGTCTTCAAGGACTGCAGTATTGCGGACGACAAGACGTTCCGGAGCTTCCCAAAAGCTGCCCATCTAAATCGGATTCGACGATTGACCTCTTTCTCGAAATTGGCCCTGCCTAATTGGACGGTTTGTCCGAGGTAGACATAGTCGTCAACAACTTCGAGAGTAGAGGTTCCTACTGTTATAGGGGTGGGTACGACATGAACATTCGACATAAGTTTCGTCTTGTCCATGTTCATTTTTAGACCCACCTGCTGGGAAACTCTATTGAGGTCACCGAGCATGGTGCCAAACTCTTCCAACGATTCTGCCATGACCACGATATCGTCAGCAAGTGAGTGATGAGTGAAGAAGGTGAGTGATGTACTCGCCATTGATTTTGATGCCGAGTCCTTTCCAGTTCCGTAACTTGAAGGCATCTTCCAATGCATTAGTGACCAATTTCGGAGAAATAACGTCTCCCTGTCGCACTCATCTTTGCAATAGGATATAATAAATAATATAATTGGTATTGTATTTTATATTGTATTTTATTAAATTTATAATTGATATTGGTATAGACCCGTATGTCGTGTCGCATAGACTTCCATATGTGTGTATTAGCTGTCTGTAGGCTTTAACCTTATCGGAGGACTGCAGCGTCATATCCCGTCGATTTGCCATTAGCCGAGAGTATTATCGGAGAGTTTCTGCGGCCTATCCTTGCGGCGGGTCCTGAAGAAATTTGACCCAACTGTGTGGACAGTCTCCACCACCCTGTTGCTAATCTCGTCCACAAAGACGCAGTCCTGTAGGCAGTCGAAACGATTTTGAAGTTCGAGCGGAAACTTTTCGGGGTAATTTATATGGGCACCGCTGGGTCGCAGAGCAGACTTCATCAGTCGTGACCTCTCTCGTGACGTTTGATATCGATATTCAACAAGTCTCTTACCATCCTGTGATCGCTTCCAGTTTTCACCCTATTGATCACCGAAACATTGTTGAATATCTGTCTCTTGTCGGTCAATATGAAATCTATCTCATTCCTTGTGACACCATCGGGACTTAACCAGGTCCATTTCCTTTGAGGCGGTTTTTGGAAGAAGGAGTTCATCATAAAGAGTCCCTCCGTTTCCATGAAGTCAGCCAGCCTTTGGCCCCTGGAATTTCGCTGCCCATAACCAAATTTCTCCACTCTTGGCTCATCAACCATTTGACTGCCCAGTTTGGCGTTGAAGTCCCCCATGACAACATTGAAGAGTGTTTGGGAGGTATGCATGGCTTGACTTATGTCCTCATACATAGCTTCCACCTCCTCATCTAGGTGTGTCGAGGTCGGTGCGTAGACCTGTATGACCTTCAGCAAGTAGCGCTTGGATACTCTGAGTATAAGGTACGCAAACCTGCTCGACACACTCCCGTTGGAAGTAATGTTGCCAATAAGGGACTTGTGGACGGTAAACCCGACACCACCCTGGGACTGCTGGTCACCTTCCCTGAAGTAGAACAAGTTGCCGAATTTCGGGGCTATCGTGTCCTCCACCTCTCTACGAACTTCCGACAGCCTCACGATATCCCAGTGTAACTTGTTCACCTCCTCTTCCAGCTCAACGATCCTCTCGTCTGACCGCAGTGTGCCTGCGTTATACGTTGCCAGGACCAGGGTCGTTCGACGGTCGAATCCCACCCGGAGATTAGAACCTCTGGTGCCAGAGCTTCCACGACGTCCGTCAGCGCCTCGGTTGCTACTGGCGCCGCCGGGCACTTAGGGATACTTTTCTGTGCTAATGCGCATTGCCAGGTCGCCAAAGCCTCGTCGGTAGGAGCAGGGTGTACCGCGTGCAGATGAGGTTGGCTATTGAGCACTGTAGGTGTTGGGTGGCGCCCCTTACCTCTGTGTCGCTTACCACCAGAAGCGAGTAAAAAAGTCAGAGAAAATAAACTAGTTTCTATCGTTTATTTCATATTTTCAAGGTATCCTTTAAAACATGAAATGACGGAGGAGAAATAAATTCCTATACAGTGCAGAATTTATTATACAAGAATAAGAGTTTCAACAATTGTTAAAACTAATTACGACATCATTTGACTGCCTTCGTGGCCGAACGGTTACCACGCAGAGGTTCCAGGTTTGATTTGATTTGATTTGAGATTTGATTCTCCCAGGCCGGGAGAAATATTTGTGTGGCCTACATTTATTTCTCTCGTGAGTTTGGGTGTAATTTGTGGTTTGTCTATGCGTGTGTCCATGGCACCCGCGACACAGGGTTTCCCTAGTGCGGGGCTATGTTGAGTGCGTTAGTGTGTGCATTTGACGATTTTTTTTGTTATACAGTTAATAACATACTTACGTCTCCAGTATGAGCGCTGACTCCACAACATTTCAAGTCCTTATAAAACGTGTCCAATGCTAGCGCCATGGATCGAGTCAAGTTGCCGACGTAACTGACACCGCCTTCACCGTCGCCGTCAGCGTCCAACGCGTCTTGGAACGACTCAAAATCGCGCATCCAGTCTACCGCGTAGGAATTATCGACTACGTCTATCTGTAAGAACGTATACTGTGTAGTCAGATAGTCTAGATAGTCTCAATCAATCTTGTGTGAAGAATACAAGATGAGAAGTAGTTAGGAATTGCCGGCTCTGGACTACAATAGAGCCGGTGTAAAAAGATCTCTGTAATGGATGATGACGCTTCGTGTGAGGTTGAGAATATGATGGTTATTGGTGTTTTCAAGGTCACATAGTTCAAAGTTGTTTGATAGATGGTGACCGATGTGCGTTACGATGTACATGGTCACACGCCACCAACCAAAGACGTACCACCCACAGTTCAGCTAAACGTAAATCAGTTGCCTTCTACCAACCACAACCAATAAAACTCGTTCCTATAATGCCTTGTGAGAGCCCTACTCAACATATGGAGGTTATTCCTGATATCTCAGTAGTGCTTGGTGGTCACTTTAATACATTGTAAAATCTTGCCAAGCATGTGTATCCACTATGCCACTTACCTTATTCATAACAACAATAAAAGGCAGTTTCGTCTTGTACAATATCGAGCATGCGTAAAGCATGTTGGACATAAATGTAACAGGGGAAACACTGCGCACCGTGTCCATTACATAGACTACTATGGTAGGTCTCGACGATGCTAATGTCTCTGTTACTATGGTGCCTGATGCTGACCAGGTGAATACTTCAATTTGGCCTGAAAGGGAGTAATATTTAGTACCAAAGCGCGAAACGCACATACTTGTAAATAAGACAAAAAGTACTCTATAAATAGGTAATATGAACTATTTTCTTTTGGAGTTCTGTTACTTGACACTAAATAGCACTAGATTCAACAGCTGTTATGTTTACTTAAAGCTAGAAATCCTATCCAGCTGCCTCCGCGTACGAATGATTACTGCACTGCTACATAGTGACCCCGGGTTCGATTCCTGGGCCGGGAGAAATATTTGTATGGCCTATATTTATTTCTCTTATGAGTTTGGGTGTAATTTGTGATATTAATAATAATAATAATTTATTTACATATTTTCTCTACAAACATCACAGTTAATTAAGTATTTCGATAATGTACACAGTCAAATTTATTACAGTATGTTTGCAAGAGACTGGTTCCTAAACTAAGCTGAAGCATGTAATATAAGTAATCAGGACTCTCACCTCGGACAATAATTCGTACATAAAAGTAGATATTTATTAATGGTAGTTCAAAAACAAATTTGTATATATTAACTGAAACTAAATACTAATATTAAACTGAAAGTAAAAACTAATTAATAGTAAAAGAAAAATAAAAATCAAACTGTAGTGTTATATGTGTAGATGTGTGTGTGTGTGTGATTGTCTATGTTTGTCCATTATTATATATTAGTGTGCATTATTATTAATCTATATGGCACACGGGCGTTGCGCCGTCACGACGCTATGATTTCCACTTCCTCGTACTTAAGTGTGGCACCATGTAGCATGTCGTTATGATTTACATGTGATGAATGATTTACAAAACAAAAATATTAAAATACAAATAATCTCTGGCAATAAAAAAATAATCACTGTACATACAGCATCAACGAGAGCATTGAGGCATTTGTTCTTGGGAACATAACTATGACTATAAAGGAATGGCCACTTCACACTTGCACTAGTTTATTCCATGGCATCTGCCCTATTTATAAAACAATTATTTATTTATAAAACAATTATTCGTTTTTCTTTTATTATTTTAAATTGTTTTGTTACCTGGAGTATCAATAACGCAGTACTTATGCTTCTTGCCAGCCTTCTCAATAAGGTCCACAACCTGTCCAAACTTTGTACTGAACAGGTTTAGAGCTGTAACTATTCCTCCATTAGGACCTAGGCCATATTGCTTCATCACTTCTTTGTAATCCACTGTGTCTCGTATATCTGGAATTTATTTCGTAACTAAGTTGTACTTTATTTATTTGCTATTTATTAACAGCCAATTTTGAAAAATTTCAACATATAGGTATACACTTGCAGCCACATTCTCACCTGATGTTAAAAACTCTGTAGCCAATGATGTTTGTATGTTCCTGATATTTTAACTGACTTGAAAAAAGGAGGAGGTGCTCATTCAAAAGGTATGTTATGTGATAACTCTGGCATTTGTGAATCGATTTTGAAGATTCTATTTTGTTTGAAAGAGGGTAGGGTACCTCACTCCACTTCTACCTCTAATGGTGGCAAACTAAGGGACGAATCCAGTTTCGTGTACTTTCTGGTAACCAATTTCAATAAAACTTGGCAAGTAGATCTAATTCCATGAACTTTTTTCCATTCAATTGTCCGTTAATTACAGCACTACTAGATGTAGCTTTCAAGTTCACAAATAATTCATTACATTTAGGAAATGAAACTATTTTTCCAGATTTAAATCGTGTATATTTGTTTTTTCAAACAAACCAACATTTTGGGCCCTTTACAGGTCTCATGGTCACGGTTGAAGACTGTACCACCTCAGTCAACTGTGACCATGGGACCTGTAAAGGGCCCGAAACGTTGGTTTGTTTGAAAAAACAAATATACATGATTTAAATCCGGAAAAATAGCTTCATTTCTTATGTGTAACAATCGTGGGAACCTAAGAACTCGATAAATTCATTACATTGCATAGAAATTACATGAATTCTGAATATACTATGTACTTAATCAAGTTTTATCTGTCAATGTTGCCAGTTGCATCTATTTGTCACGAAGTAGATAAAATCTATGATCAGTCGAGGTGAGACTTTAGAATAGCTGATATTAGAATAAAAAAGTTCTTATCAACATTTAAACAACACCCTAAAACATGAAATGATCAGAGCAACAAAAAGCTCCATCACAGCTTTTATGGATCAATCAGCTAGTGTAAAAATTGCTTTTCTGCGTTGGTTTTTCACTTTAAGAAACTTTAGTTTCCTATAACTGAAAATCAATGTGAGGGCTTCTTTTTAACTAGGTCTACTTTCACAAATAATATCAATGTTCAATTTGACATCAGCAATTCTGAGTTGAGACTTTATCAACAATTGCTTGATGACAAAGACAAAGACGGTGTAAGTGAATGTATATGAGTTGATCATAACGATTTACTTAAAAAGTTGCTTTTCAAGAAATTTAAAAAAATATAACACTAAGATTTTGGAATAGCTGACTTTAAAAGTCATTTGCGAAGCTGCTAAAAATCTATCAGAGCTTAAAAATCTTACCAATATTAGCCAGATAAGGAACTTCCCGGCACGCGGGATCTAAGTTTATAAGGTATGGCCTGGAACCTTCTACGACTTTACTAGCTAGTCGTCTCGTGAACGATGTCTTTCCAGCGCCTGCCATGCCTGAATAAACGCAAAAA